CTCAGAGTCCCAAGAGCCCACCCCGGGGCCGCCCCATGACACACGTGCAGCCCCCACATATTCACAAACATGCACACACACTCTGCGTGTGGGAGGAAGGACAGACAGGTGGGGCTCTGGCTGGGCTCCCTCCTGGGCTGAGCACTACCCTCCCTGCTCCGTGAGGGAGATGCCGGCCTGTGGGACCCTCCCCACCCACAGTGGGGCCTGGGGACACAGGTGTGAACCTCACGCCCACTGCAGCCCACCCTGATGGACCAAGGACCCTGAAAGTGTCGGGGGGAAACTCAGATGGCAGACTGACGCCCAGGAGATGCAAAGGGCATGGGGTACCACAGCCCTAAACCACGTGCCCAGGCCTCGGGTGGCATGCGCTGGCTGCCAGGGGGCATGAAGGCCAGGCAGGCCTGCCCCCAGGGAACATCTGTCTCAGTTGCTGGAGTGACCCGCAGACTCCGGATGAGCGTCAACTGGCACTTCTACGAGCCCGTCAGCCTGTGAACCATGGCGGGACGTCACAGGCCCCAGAGGCCCACCCGTGCTGCTCCCGCTCAACAGCTGGGTGGGCCAGCTGCTTCCTTCCAGGGCAGCAGGTGGGAGCCCAGTGGGTACCTGTGGGCTGAAGGGCTGGGCTGGCAAAGGCCAGACAGAGGCCCCTGTTGGTCCCGCCTGGGCCTTTGTGGTCCCCTCCCCAACAAGGCCCTGCCATTTGACCCTGGGTCTGCCCTCAGTCCTCACCATAGATCTGGAGCCTCTCTGGTGCCCAGCACTGGGTAATACCCTGGGCAGAGGGGCCATGGTCCCAAAAACTAGGGCCTGGGCGGCTCCACCTCCCTGTTCCCTAGGTTCCAGAAGGGTTGCCCTATTGGGCTGGGAAGGGGGAACAGTCAGGCTTTGGGAAGGTGCTGTGACCACAGCCCTGACCTCCCAAGGGCACAGCAGGTGTGGACTCGTCCTAAAGCTCTACACTGTGGCAAGACTACACCTGACAATGGGAGTATCTATAAGATGCAGCCCCTCAAATCAGGAACTTCCAGAACCTTCCAACATTTGGGAAAAGGGTAGCGCGTGCCCAGGGGGTTGACCTGGGTCCCCGGCCACAGCGAGCATGGCACTTACCCGGGAGTGACGGCCGGCGGGATGACCAGGATGGCCAGCAGCCGGGCCTGGTGCAGGGCTTCAGCCAGGTGGGTGAGCATGTGGATGAGGCCCCTGCAAAGAACCAGGAGCTCAAGAACAGGAAGTCAACGGGTTTGACCCAGACCCGCTACAGGGCAGGAGCCCCGTCATGGGCACCAGAGGCCCTGTGCACTTCACACACTCGAGCACCAGGGCAGCCCAGCAGGCCCCGTGGGGGTCACCTTCCACCCGAAGCGGGCTGATCCCTGGCCTTCTGTGCCCAGGATCACCCTGAGAATGACATGAGGAATAAAGGGCTGTCTGGGCAGCACCCCATCACATCTCCCAGACACACCGTCTGGCCAGGGGGTGACCTGCTGGTGGCTGGGTCAGCCCAGGCCATCAAACACTCAGGACCGGAACACTGAGGGCAGCTCCACCAACCAGGTCTTGTGCTGAGGGGGGAGCCCAGCCCCCTCACGTGGCCACCCTCAGCCTGGAAGACACAGCCGTCTGTCCCAGGCAGGGATGCACCTCCAGTCCTGGGACACACAGGAGGAGCACCTGTGGGTAGGTGTCATGTGGCACTCTCCACTTGTGCCTGGACATGTCTCAGCAGGGAGTGGGCCACCAGATGGGCGACAGGGAGGGAGGCGGTGCCATGGGCTCCTCCAGCCCCTAGAGTCACAGCAGGGATGCCCAGTGGAACGGAGACTAGCGCAGCTCCAAGCATCACCTGGAAGCGTCTGTCAGGCACCCCAGTCCCCCTCATGTCACCGACAGGTTCTGGGATGGCCCCATGCTCTGGGCGTTCACTCTGGCCTGGCCCTGCCAACACTGTGAGAGCACAGCGAGCCCTCCCCCCAGAGGGTCCGGGGCACTCTCACTTTCACCGGCCCCCCGTGTGGCCAGGGCATGGCGCCCAGTGCCCACCTCCAGGCCCCACCAGCATGGCCCTGGTGGTCTTGACGGGAACGGGTGGTCACTGACCGCCAGACCGGGCTCAGTGGAGGTGATCCCTGCTACCATGGTGACTCTCCCAGAAGGAGGCAACTTGGGCTGTGGTCAGGCTCACCCCTGGGGAGCACATGCTTCCATCAGCTCTGCCAACAGCTGTCACATTGAAGCACAATCACTGTCACTTGCTCTCCTGGCTTTCTGGATGGCCCCGGGGCTGCATCTTTGTGGGACGGAGAGGGTGGTCTCGTGCCTCTGGGGCAGCACCCACCAACTGGGAACCTACAGTCACCCCTGTGCTGGGGAACAGGCCTGCCACACCCTGGGTATGCATGGAGGGGACCTGGCCACTTGCTAGGTCTGGGCATCATCCCTGCCTGCTCTACTGGCTCAGGTCACTTGCTCTTCCCCACAGGACTTCTGTGGGACACGGGTGTCACGGAGCTGCTCTGCCACTGTCCCCATCATACACAAGCCATGTGCCCCAGAGCATCTGCCACAATGGCCTTTCCAGGCTGACCTTTGCAGAAGGAAACAGTGCCCTTGGACGCCTAGTCAGAAGCCCCAACGAGGGTGACAGGTGGGGACGGCCTCATGAAATGTTCCCATCATGCCTCGCCACAGCCAGGCCCATTCCATCCTGGGAGACGGCTCCCAGGTAGCAACGTGCCCACAGCCATCTGCCAGACTGGCTCCTCTCTGCCCTACTCCACCTGGCCCCCTGCCTGCCCTGCCAACCGCCCCCTCATCACATGCCTGCTACATCCTGGCTGTGCCTCAGGTAAACCCCCTCCCCGTGCTGCGAGCCCAGGCAGAATGCAGCTGTCTGGTGAGAAGCTGAATCAGAAGGTGATGGAAGGTCACCTTGGTAGGGCCTCTGCCCTGCAAAGATCACAACAGATCCTTGGGAGGAGAGGTGTGTGTTGGGGGCGGGTGGGGCGTCTGCCAACAGCCAGAGCCCCTGATACGCTGGCCCTGTGCCAGCTCCCGATAAACACAGCAAGTCACTCGACTCAGCTCTTGTCGTCTCCATGCGTCGTCCTGCACAAACTGGGCCTCAGGGCCCTCCCAGGGCTAGGGGCTTGCACCCAAGTGGGGTGGGAGTCACAGCTGCCCGGACAGGCCCGCTGCTGCAAAGCTGGGCAGGGAGCCCCAGACACAGGCCAGAGCCAACAACACGCCCTCCCCCTGCACGTGGAGACCAGAGACCGGCTTGGGGACACCATCTCTGAGTGGGCAGAGAAGGGACTGCGGCCGCAGGACAGGAGGGGGGACGCCTTGCGGGGAGCCCTAGCCCAGTGTTCGCTGCTGGGGAAGCAAGGGCGGGGGGGCTCAGGCTTTGAGCTGGGACTCCTTCAGGCGGGGAAGTGGGGGGAGGCCGCTTTCGGAACTGCCGGTGGCCGGATGCCAGCCTCTGCCGCCCCCAGCACCACACAGGCCTCCCCACTGCTCTGCCCCCACATCCCCGACAGAGGCAGGCAGTGGCTGCCGCAGGAGACACTGCACCACTCCCCGGTCACTCGGGTGCCCCTGTGAGGCGCGCAGGCAGTGTCTGTGGGCCTGGGCAGCCGGCTTTCCTCCCAGATGACTCCGCTGCCCGGCTGACCGCTTTTCCTTGTCCCCAGGAAGGCTTTGTGGGGCTCAGCAGAGGCATCTGGGCTGGTGTCACCGCCCAGGCCCCCATCTTCCCATAGGGTGCTCTTGGGTGACGTCGATCACGTGGCCTTTACCACCCACGCAGGCGTCCGGGCCCTCAGAGCAGCACGGTCAGAGCCAGACGCTGGTCCCTGGCTGTTCTTGAGGTGCTGTCCCTGTCCCCCTATGATGGCCCTCCCTCAGTCCTCCCTCCAGGACACTTGGGGGCCAGGAGAGCACAGAGCCCACTCACGTGTGCTTTTGGCTCAGCAGCTGGCTCCAGACCTCCACCACGAAGCCGTCAAAGTGCTGGCTCTGAAAAGGCACAGGGCAGGTGAATGCGGGTCCGATGACGCTGGTGGGGACGGGTGGGAAGGCAACGCGGAGCCAGCCACCAGCACCCATGCAGTGAGGTCACGGCAGGCCCAGAAGCCCCTCTTAGAAGGAGGCAATGTGGGGGTCCCCATAGGAGCCAGGAGCAGAGGGGCCAGGTGCTCACGTGTCTTGTCCCCTCACACGCCTCCTCCCCAACCCCAACCCTGGGGACCTGAAGAACCAGCAGGGCGGGCGCCCTCCCAGGAGGGCAGCTGGCCGTCACCCGAGGGAAGCCTTCCTGGCCCAGGCGAAGACCAGGGCAGCAGGCCTCACCCCAGGGGACGTCTGTGGTCAAGGCGAAGACCAGGGCAGCCGGCCTCACCTTGGCCACCTGGACGATGGTCTTGCCCAGCTCCTCTACCTCGTCCTCGCTGTCCAAGACACTCCCAAAGTCCTCGTGAGTCCAGTCCTCGAATAGGAGTCGGGGCACTTGGGGGACAGACCCGCACACAGATGGTGACCCTTCTGTGCTTGGCCCTGCCCCCAGAGCGACCCTTGGCCATCAGAGCAGAGTGAGCACACGGCTAGGCACCCACAAGGCCTGGTGGGGGGAGGGGGGCGGTAGGTGGTACTGACCTCTTCCCCCTCACCCCCCACGTCCCCGAGTGCCCGGACCCCCAGCTCCTTCAGCAACTCGCTGCCTGGCTCTTGCTGTACCGTCCTCCCCATCGGAACCCCCCCCCCACCCCTGCCATGGCTC